GACAAGCAAAATTAATGGGGAAGCCAGATTCACTTAATAACCATGTGGTCAACTTATCAATTGCAGTGATTCACTTAGCAACTGTGGCAAAAAAAGGTTGTAAAATGGGGCAAAAATCATTTAACAAATGTCTCACTTAACAACAGAAATTTCAGGCTCAAATGTGGTTTTAAGTGGAGGACTGTCTATACTTGATTTACGACAGTTTTGACCAAATTTTCTGCTGCTAGGCAATGTGGTTGTTAAGTGAGCCATACATGACTTTATGACCTTTTTTGCCATAGTTGTGAAATTGTTAAGTGAATCATGCAGTTATTAAGCAAATCCAACCTCCCCCGTTGACTTTGCTTGTTGGAAGCCAGCTGGGAAGGTGACAAATGGTGATCACACAATCCCGAGATGCCGAAATTGTCATAAATACATGCCTGTTGCCAAGCACCCAAATGTTGATCACATGATCATGGGGATGCTGTGATGGTTGTGAGTGTGAGGACTGGTTGTAAGTCACTTTTTTCAGAGCTATTGTAAAGTTCAAATGGCTGCTGAACATGTGGTTGTAAGTCAAAGGCAACCTGTACTTTTTACTCTCAATTAGTTGCTTCACTGCCCTAATCATAAATACTCAACATAGAGAGTAACAACTGCTCTGAATATTCAACTGTCATTAAAAATAAGTATTCACTCTATGCACCAGCCCTCTGGGTAGTTTTTAAAAAGTTTGACATAACCACCAGATACTTCTAATGCTGCCACTCCCCGTTTTCCTTTTCTGAGAAGCTACAAAAGAGTTCTTGCAGCATTGTTTCAAAGATCATTAAAACAGGACAGGGATTTATGTCATCAAATCTGAAAAGTAACTTTATCTGTGCTCTCCAATGCTGCAGAGTAAGCTATGGTACTCTGGTATGCTGTATAACCTCTTCCGAGAAACCAATAAAAATGTTTACTCTTGCAAATCTTTAGTGCTATAAACTAAATGAGATTCCAATTGTAGCTACACCCTTCTCATTACAGAAATTACTTCAAGGTTTATAGCTGTTAGAACTGAAACTAAGTGCCTCTAATCTTAGACTATACCGTTAAATGAAGGTGTGTCAAGATAGACAGAAGATAAATTAGCTAATGTAATATGGATAATATTTTTCTTCTGCTCGGTACATTTAAATGTCTTTTTGTCCCTGCTAGCTTTAACAGATGTATGGTAAGTAGATCAGCAAGCAGAGGGATGAGAAAATGTTCATTTACCAGATTTTAGCTGCTCGTGAGATTGTAAAAAGTCACAAGTTTTTATCCAGAAAAAAAACCCATCTCCAGCATTTCTAACAACAATTAGTTCAGGAACTTGCTGTTTCTCAATTATTGTCCATACTGACATGTAGGAAACTTGCACAAAATTTTAAAAACATATTTTTTTAAATAACAAATAATTTTTATAACAGCAAACACAGTGGGTATATGAAATGATTTCATCAAGAAATTATGTGTGTATAATATATTCAGGTTCCTTTGCTTTCTAAAGTTGTGATTAATATTAATGGAAGTAATTGAATTAACTTTTTCTTTTTAAAAAAAATCTATATTTCCAATTGCCAGCCTGATGCAAATTATATAAAGTTTTCTCATACTTAGGTGGCAACAAAAAAAATGTAATTCATAGAGGAATGCCTGTTGATCTTTATTTCACACTTGAAAAATTAAGCCATGATAAGTACTCTTTTCCTGGATGCCACCTAGAATCCCTTTTAAATCACCGCATTTCAGTGGTGAGAAACACTAATTGCTATAAAACAGTTAAATGCACAGTAGCCATATGGCTAAAACCTAGCAACCTCTAATCTAGATGCAATGTTTTCAATAAGATTTCTTTCTAGAATTAATTATTTGTGATCATGAAATGAAATACTGACCTCTGTACATCCCAAAATATCCTTCAGACCGGATTGTTTTAATAAGGCAGTNGGGAGGAACTGACATTATCATAGCTCTAATTTGTCAGACTCCAAATTTATTCCTACCCTTTATTATTGACTTCAGCTAATAAAAATGGGGCTATTTAAGAAACTTTGACTCTTAATATAATCATCCATTTCTTATATTTATTGCTATTTGTTCGCTGTTTCTACCTTTAGTTTAATTATTTTAATTTTGGGGGGATTACTTATGCAGAAGTGGAATTGCACCATGGATGTTTTAATAACATTGTGATTGTAACCTGCTGAGTCTTTTATCAACTGCAATGGGTGAAAAAAAAGAATAACAATAATTCAGTGTTCCCAATCTGGCATCCTGTCATTATTTTATAGAAGTCCTCCTGTTATTTCCATGACTCCAGTCCTGACCATTTTCAGGATATGGTGGAAATTTAAGTCTAAATCGATGCCTAAAATGGATGGTTTGGGAAAACTGCATCTTTCTCTTTGTAAAATCTGAAGTTGGGATAGCTTGCCTCAAGTCCCTCTACCCATGAAGGAGCTCTCTTAGCTTTCTCCCATTATTATGAATCTTTGGATACATTTTCTGTTATTACATGAACAAAGGAGAGAGAGAGAGAGAGAGAGAAATAAGGTACCAATTCGGCCTGCATCTTGTAGCTGGATTTTGAGCATCTCCATGGGAGTAGTGACAATCACCTGGAGAGAGAGAGAGAGAGAGAAATAAGGTACCAATTCGGCCTGCATCTTGTAGCTGGATTTTGAGCATCTCCATGGGAGTAGTGACAATCACCTGGCAGGTCCCTGCCCCACAACCGGCCAGCATCTCTTTCAGCAGCGTCAACTTGGCTCTGGCAAAAAGAAAGGGAAGAAAGAAACAAGCACACAAGAAAATCAGCTAGGCAATCCAACCTCCCAGCATAATCTGATTTCAAGCAGCAGCAGCAGCAGCAGCAGCAACAACAACAAACCAGACAAGTTTTGTTCTTTCAGTAAAATGCCCAGTTTTTACTGCTAAGGAATCAAATGACAAACAAACTGCAGGGAATGAGAGTCATCAAACCTGTCCAGTTTGGTCTTCTTGATCATGAATTCAATGGCATATAAAATCAGAAGACTACTAGCTCAATAACACAGCACTGCAGTACAATTTTGAAAGACCAAAGGCTTTTTTTAATGAACAAAGACAGCACTCAGAAAAATGAAATATACCGTCCTTGCTTTTATTTAAAGACAACTTCAATGCTGTTATTTTAAAACAAAAACTACAGCCAGATTTATCCAAGCACACTATTTGGCAAAACACTGAAGACACAGATAAATCAAAAATTTGGAGGCAAGGAAAAAAAAATCCAGGGGAATTAGTTATGTTAATCTGTAAAGCTAGATATCTCTTTAAGAGGTTGACAAGGATCCTGTTTTGGAAATAAAGTCACTGCAGTGCTAGGCAGTAAATCTCTCCCTTACAGTATTTTGGCTCTGCAGAAGTGTAATGCAAATCATAATACTACATACAGCTGTCATCACCCTGATGACATTACAAAGTCAAAATGTAATAGGAGACTGTAGCCACAGGAGTATCATCACCATCAGAGCAAAGGAGGATAACAGGAAAGGAATTTGGTCTTCTTAGTCAGGCAACCCTTTGAGAAAGAAGTAACTTTCAAGGAGGACAATATAAGGGGGATGAAGGAGAAAAGCAACTGCATCATGGGTCTTCCCTTTAACCCTGAGGCATATTTGGCTTTAGGTTTTAGCCCTTTCCATCAAACTACAATCTACTGTTGTAGAAGTTTGCAATCTTAAAAACCTCATAGGTAACTCCAAGAGTGCCTATAAAATTTGCCACCATATTATATGATTTTCATGAGAGAAAATAAAAATTATTAAATACATGAGGATTAAATGAATTAAATATTAAACTATTTGTTTTCTACTACTGGGTACAAACAAATAGGAAGTTTCACATACTTTTGAAAACAGTGTAATATAAGTGTCAAATCTGAAACTCTTAGCCTGTATTACTAGGCAAAAGCAAAGCAGTTCACAGTGTTGGGAACAGAACAGGCTGAAATCCCATCATACTCAAGTCATCAAGAGGTTATCTTCAAAGCCAGAATTAAAAGAATATGCTACTTGATAAAAAAAAAACAAAGCCCTCCCATACTCATGCCTCCTAGTAGAATTCAGAGACTTTTGGTTTTCTTCTTTTCAACATAATATTTAACTTCATGACCAGAAACTTTTTATTATGTTAATATGATTTTTGTTAAAGGGACTTTTGACAAGGCATCCATGACCAATGACCAGCCTAATCAGAAAGAATAATCTGAAACAATGCTTTCACATTTTAATATGTACTCATTCTTTTGCATTTTTAATATATTTATTAGATGGTGGAAAATTTGAGAGGAGACCATTAAATCACTTTAGTTACACTGAATAAAGATGATCAGGAAACATAGTTTAGGTAAGCCTAGCATAAATCACACAGAGATCCACAGTGGAACCCTCTTTCTGAGTGCACAGGCTGGCCTATTTCTGGCATTAAGGTTAATTTGTCACTTCTCAAGAGAATTCAGAGCAGGCAAGGATCTTGGCTACCAGCCACTAGCTAGAGCTGAAAATGAGGTGGTACATTGCCCAGTTATGTCTTCAAAGCCAACACCACATAGCTGAAGCTTAGCATCTGTGATCCATCAAAATCTTCCCCCTATTGGGAAGCCTGGAGTAGCATAACATTCATCCCCTTACCTAGAGGGACTGCCACTGCTTCAAGTTTCCTCTTCGGCTCAGAAAAATAGCTTCAGGCAACCACATGCAGCCAGTTCCTCAGTCTGCATGATTGCTGCTTAGGTCTGGAGTTCTCTCATCTGAGGAGATTATAGTTGTAAGGCTACAGCAGAGATGATCAAATCACTAAATATAGATTTCTCCTTTGAGAATATAGGAAGGAATTTTCACTGCACCCAAGTCACATTGGTACAAAAAGAAAACAGAGTTGGCAACATCCTTTTTAAGCCATTAAAGAAATCAATTCCCTCCTTGAATAGAATCAGTCAGGGAATCAATTCTCTAAGGGACACAAAATAACTCTTAACTCCCTCATAGGTTTAGATTTTCTCTTGAATATCTGTTGAAAATTATTTTTGTGTGCTCAAAAACTGAGAAGTGGGCAATAGCTTCTTTAAAAATACTTTTACTCCTTTTATGATGAGCTACAATATTTTAAAAATGGAAGTTAGTTTGCCACTTGCCTCCAAACCTTTTCCCCACATTGTTCACTGAAATGTGACTGAAATAATCTTAGTTTCTGGATCAAGATGTGCAGAAACTGGGTCACAGCCTGCTTGTGATATCTATTTTTGGTAAAATGTTGAGCTTCTCCTGATTAGTAGAAGGCTACTTTGGAAAAACTCTCCAGATAAGTTGGAAAAGCAATTCCCAGCATTTCTAATTAGCTAGGCTGAAGTCATTCTGGAAGCTGCAGTCTGATGGATGCTACTTTGAAAAATACTGTTCTAAAGAATGCTGAGAAGTAAAAGTTATCTAATTTTTGCAGTATAATCATAATTCTATCACCACAATCATCATTTATAATCGCTTTTCCACTAGAGGTACTCAAAAATGCATCATTCATTAATCAGAAATCCCTTAAATAAGCCTTTACAATTTAACAGTTTTAAGTAATTAAACTGAAGACCGATGGTAGACCATTAAAAAAAGATCATACCATATTTAGCAAAAAAAAAATAAATCATCGACCCCATGAACATAATTACAGCTGCACTTAAACAAATTAAAATATTAATTTCAGTATTAACTGAAACAATTGAATTGAAACAATTTCCCAAGAATCGTATAAAGTTAGAAAAAAATTCTCTCATAACTAAAACTACCATATATATTCAAGGTTTTTAAAGTGATCAATAAAGAAAAGTTAGAGTTGATCTTCAGAATTTTCCACATTCCATTAAACTACCACCCTTTCAGCAGAATTAATCTAAGCTGCTTTTACAACCTAGTAAAATGGACTTTGAATATGGGGGGATGGGATGGTAGTGGTTACAGTTAGGTTTTTGAAAACATGGGTATTTCAGCAGAATGGTTGTTACAACATGGCTAGCCAATCAAAGAACATCTCTTTACCAGAAAGTGAATTGATGAAGATACTGCCTGGATGCTATGCCATAGAGAAACTAGGCATTGTAACTTATAAGCACAAATTCTCTCTCATTTTTGTTTGTTAAGCAAAAGAGTATTACTTACAAGAAACATAAAAAGGAGGTATCCATTTCCCTGCTGATTAGGCTAGGATGCATAAAGAAACAGTTAATGCAACCATGTTTAATAGATAGGAAGGGAAGAAGCTCAGCAAATGTATTTGGACAACCCTAAACAGCAATGTGAAGGTCAAGATAGGAAGGAGTCAATATTAATGAAGATAAAGTTCCTTTGGAAAAAGTAATACAAATAGTTCTCATTTAATGACCACAACTGGACCGGAAACTTGGTTATTACGTGAAGTGGTTGCTAACTGAAACCACAACTGTGCTTTCAATCTTACTTCAGCTTTCCTATCTATTAAACATGGTTGCATTAACTGTTTCTTTATGCATCCTAGCCTAATCAGCAGGGAAATGGATACCTCCTTTTTATGTTTTTTGTAAGTGATACTCTTTTGCTTAACAAACAAAAATGAGAGAGAATTTG